AAAAGTCTTCCTTACTTTTCTTATACTCCGTGCCTAGTCAAACTAAGACACATAAAATGAAACAGAGGGAGTAGTTATTTTCAGTTGATTTTCACCTTTCTTTTGTCCTATAAGGTATGAATCATATTGATTTAATTATAAGATCCTTTTCATTCACTGCTTGTCAAAAAATAAAAATGTGTGCAATATGCTAAGACGGGTGTGAGATAATACTGGGTATGTTGTTTTTATTGTTGTTATGCTAAGACGGACAATGTTAAACAAGAATTGCTTCTCAAGCTGATGCTGGGTCTATAATCATCCTATATTGGAAACTGTGCCTGCTCATTATTCGCATTTAGCAAGAAATTTTCCCTTTTATTACGGAGCATATTCTTGGACAATCTACCTCTTTGCAGAGTTCAATCCATTTTTGATTTGAAATGGCTCAGGTTTTTACACCATTGGTGGAAAAATGTAAAAAGTACGGACGTGCAATACGTATTGGAACTAACCACGGGAGCCTTTCAGATCGAATTATGAGCTATTATGGGGACTCACCTAGGGGAATGGTGAGCAGTAACTGAATTACTTATCTAGAATANGAACTAACCACGGGAGCCTTTCAGATCGAATTATGAGCTATTATGGGGACTCACCTAGGGGAATGGTGAGCAGTAGCTGAATTACTTATCTAGAATATTGTGTTCTAGTCATTGTTGTTGTATTCTTTAATTACTTTGTATCATCTAAATGTGGTAACAGGTTGAATCAGCATTTGAGTTTGCAAGAATTTGTCGAAAGTTGGACTTCCACAATTTCGTCTTCTCAATGAAAGCTAGCAATCCAGTAGTTATGGTTCAGGCGTATCGCCTTCTTGTAGCTGAGATGTATGTTCAAGGATGGGATTATCCTTTACACTTGGGAGTTACTGAAGCTGGTGAAGGTGAGGACGGAAGGATGAAGTCTGCAATCGGTATTGGCACACTTCTTCAGGTACACTTTTAGACTTCCGGATAAATAACAGTAGAAGCTGAGCATCTTGTTGAAAGTAACATCTTTATTCCTTTTGCTTCCAGCTTCATTTATACAAGTTCTCTAGATATACCAGATATTTTGTACTCGCTGATACATATTCATTCATTCAAGCAATAGGGTATTTAGTATTTACTGTCAGAAAATGAAACAAAGCAAGAATATATTTGTTAAATTATGATAATCAGAAGACGTAATTAGGCTAAAAGCTATAATCTGCTCAATCGGAGCAAGCGACAGAAAATACGTACTTGTGATTTATCACATTTGGAATTTTAAAAGCTAAATTGTGTTTATGCGAGCAAATTACTACGATAAGGTAGTCTATTCTCATACATGTTCCTC